CCCCCCCCGACCCCGTGCCAAGCAGGTCACTATGGCCCCAGGCCCAGCTCAGACCAGACAGCTCTGGGGGGCCCTGGGAGGCCCGATCCTGGGCTGCAGTGCTCTGGGGGCACAGGCTGGAGACCCCAGGAGAAGGGCGGGGGGGTCCCCATGCACCCCTCCCCTGGCATCGACCTCGCCTCCCCCTTGGAAACCATCACTAGCATCTCCCACGTAGCAACCCCAAGCACGGCTGCCATGGCAACAGGGCGAGCATGGATGGTTGCTAGGGAGATGCCTGGCACCTCCATCAAGGTAGCAGCAGGCCCCGGGCTCCGGACAAAGGGGCTGCCCCAGCAAAGGGGGTCTTGCACACGCGTGTGCACATGCATGCTGAGTCAGCACAGCCCTGCCCGGCAGGGAGGGGAGCACCACGGGCGCGTCCGGCGTCACCCTGGCCGGGCGGGGCACCTGGCCCAGCAGGATGAGCCGGCGATGCCAGGACAGTGCTGCCTGCTGCACCTAACAACCAGGAGGGGCCGTGGGTCTGGTCCCTCATGTGGCACCAGCAGCTGGCATCGCAGCAAGGACATGTGTGTCCGGATCGGGGCCCTGTGCACCGAGCGAAGATGGGCCTCAGGGGGCCCCGTGGGGCCTCGGAGCTGCCCAGGGGCCCTTGTGCCACCCCACCGCAGGGCCACGGCCAGGCCTGCAGGGGTCCCCACTGGCAGGAAGGGGGGGCCCTTCCCCCCAGGCTCCGGCTGGCATGGGGGTGGGCGCGAGCTGCGCGTCAAGCTACAGCAGCACGCGTGGGCGAGTCGCCATGGCGACGCGCCCGGCTGTCACGCGCTGCCCGCCCATGGGGGCTGCAGGGCCTCGTCCCCCCCAGGGCACACGTGGCCCCAAGCAGCGCCCACTGCACCCTGGGGCTGGCACATGGCAGGGCCAGAGTGGGTGCCGCAGGGTGCAGACCTGGGCCCAGGTGGCCTGTCTGGGTGGGGGGTCTGGGGGGGCTGCTTCTGGGTAGGAGGGCAGCAGGGGACAGGGCTGATTAACCCCACGAGGCCTGGCAGGGGCTAGCACAGGCCTGTCCCTCCCGCCCCCCTCTCCCATCCCACAGCCCTGGGCCCCGCCAGTGCCCCTCCCCCCTGACCCACCGCCCC